TTCTTCCTAGGCACACCTCCATTCAAAAGCTGCCAGTGCATTAACGCAGTGGATGTAAACTTTCTAGTAACTCAAGGTAGCCCTATAGTAACTATCTCAGGAATCAAGTTACATGCAGAATGCAGAAATTACTACACACCTGCACCTTGTCCCTCATGCTTGCTGGCAGGAGAACACAACTTATTATCAGGTTGATGCCAATAACCTTAAAACTGTGGTTGTCTGTGGTGCTCCTGCCTGACTAATGCACCGCTTAAGCCTTTAGAAATGTTCTCCTCCCACCAGTTTAAATAATATACCTGGCTGGGAGGTAACAGTGGCTTCACCAAATCTAAATGAATACATTTTGTGCACCTGGATGAAACCTCTCTGTTTTAATGGCCAAGATTGAAACTCATATCACTGAAGCATTGCAGAGCACTGGGATGAAGGTGAATTTAAACAAGGTGATCTCAAAATGTACTTTACACAGATTGCCTAGCGTTCCTTATCTGCAGGATGGTAGAACTTTTATTAATCAGGAAGATCAGATGCCAGAGATAAAGCATTCATAGCGTGAGCAGTTGGAGCTGGCTCTTTTATTACTGGGTCTTGGTATCAGTGAGGTCAGAAACACAGTAATTCATCCGCAGACGTCTTCATGTGTTGTCCTTCCCTTCAGCCTGTCTTAGACCATGTCCTGTAGTCACTGGAACATGGCCTTCTCTGTGCTGAGTGACAGGGCCTGATTGAGAGATACTGTGGCACCAGCAAATCAGCCCATTTTTCTTAGCTTTTTGTATCCCAATGACCACTGCACAAGTAGCCAGTTGATTAAATTATGAATGGGTTAAACAATAAGTTAAAGGGAAGTATTTTATACCCCCAATAACCACTGCACAAGTAGCCAGTTGATTAAATTACGAATGGGTTAAACAATGGGTTAAAGTGAAGTATCAGCTATGTTAATGTATTTATCGTCTCCCCACCTCACCAGTCAGACATGGAAGGGCCTTTCCATATCTCTGTCTTCATGCACTGTTGCAAGCCAAAAACCCCTCACAGATGTGTATTATTTGACTGAATAGTTCTCAGAACTTGTCATCACAGGTTTCTGATTTCCCCCTTATAGTTCACACTAGTACTAGTGCATTGCTCTCTGTTACAGCATGATGGCTATTAAGAAATATTGTACCAGATTTATCACTGGTGAAACAGGTTATGCTAGGACTCAATATTTAGCAACAATTGCCAGAAGTGCAGAGAAGACTACTGCTAGAGGCTTTGCAATAGTAGTAGAGGCACTACTGCTAGAGCACACTAGGAAATACTGTAGTGATTTAAAATACACCCCTAAAGGCAAGGTTTTCTTAATGTTGTTCAGGATTTTAGCCAAGGAACTTTGAAAGTACTAGAAACTCTGCCATGCTGAGCACCCTGTGCTCACTCAAAAATATTACAGAATACAATAATGAGAACCTTTGCAACATCAGGCCCAGAGCAAAGGATAGGTTAGGATCAGGGAAAGGATAATAACAGCTCTGTAATGCTATGCTGCTAGGGCAAGCTTCAGCTTCACTTGGTTGAGCACATAAATTTAAATGTCAAATATCCAGAGTGTTTTCCAAATGAAAATGTGAGGTTTTATTCCCCTGATGTCAAAACCTGAAAAGAGGTGTACTTCATTAACTGAAGGCAAACAAAAAGCTCTTTGTAGGTTAATTTTTAAAAATATTTGATGAGAAAGAGAACCGAGATGCCACTAACTTGTTCAAGAGATGGAGAAAATGTCAACAGAACTCAGGCTGTTAATTATCTTGAGAGCTAAAAATTATGCAGGCAATTACAGATAGGAATTTTTGTGAGAGTCCCAGCTTCATATATGTTTGGTAAAGTGTTCTTGCAAATTAAAGCATAGATTGCTGGGCAGTTTTTCAACTTTGGTGTGATACTGGCTGGTGTGGGTTGTTAACTTGTTGATTTGATTTTATCCTTCAAGCAAACGAAAGCCCAGCATCCCTGAACTTTTTTTCTAATACTTTTAAAGATCATCTTTGCATGCCAGCTTTTGCTTAGAAACTCACCCGAAGATGTCAGCCATTGAAATGATTTCATGTGGAAACATTGCTAAGTAAATTCACTAAATGCCTATTCATCCCAGTAAGATGGAGAATCACTGAAGCAGCAAATGTGAAAATCTGCACAGCTTACTATATAGAAAGCAGTTTTCTGAGGATGCCAAATTGAGAAGCAGAGTCTGACCCTGGGAGGCATTAAAGCTCACATGAATGAACATAGAAGGAGGGTCTCAGGCTTCTTCAGTCTAGTCATGGAGATTGATTGATAGACATGTATTCCAATTGGTCTCGATTGGATCAATGGTTAACTTGTTCTTTATTCATCAGTTCAATAAAGAAAGGTTACCTGTGATGACAGAAAAGTTTGTAAATATGAGATACTCTGATGGTGTGCTAGTTTGATGAAGTCCTCAGTTATTCTGACTGACCCCTTAACTTTAAAGCATTTTCTACCAGGATCTTATTTAACCTGGCTTGATGGGAATGTTTCTAAGCTGCAGTACTGTCTAGAGTTGACTTTTTGTATTTTCAGTTGCATCAGAGGAGAAAAGATCCTTGTGTCTTTTCCTTAAAAGTGGTCTTCATGGAATGCAAGTCAGTACATGAAGATTTGTTCATTATGATTTTCTCAGTTTTCCTAAATATGTTGACCTGCATAAATGAAGAAGAAAATGATTTTTGTATCAGTGTTAATGTGAAACCACCATGAATTTTCTTGGAAATGTTAGCTGAAATTCTGAAAACTATTGAAGGAATTCCCAGTTCTGTTGTATGGAATTAGCCATAACATTGTATGATTCTCATGAATTTTAGTGGGAATTTGGTATTTAAATTCCTCATGTGGTTTTGAAAATGTTAACCTTATCATTTCACCCTTTTGCCTCTAACTCAGATAAGGAAAGAATACTGCAGTAAGAACTTCCTGAATTGCCCAAGTAGTACCTAAACGAATCATGTAATATGGACCTAATTTGTCAATCCATAATCTAGCACATGAGAAATATGAACAACAGCATGACATAAACTGTATTTAAGCTATCTCAAGCCTAAGTGCCAGTTTTGATACCGGTCCATCTCCAAATTACCTACTGTGCCTTACAGTGCAATTCCTCTGTAAAAATGATTATATAAAAGCAGTGCATTTTGAATACACATCTGATCTGCATCCAGTCGTGTGCATTTTTGGTCAGATCTACTGACAAAAGTATCTTTTTAATATTTTGACTCCCATAAGCACCAATGAGGCAAAGGCAGCTGCGAGTGTGAGCTAAACTCCATTCCTCGGTGCATTGTGAACTCAGTGTTTTGCTGAGTTCCTGCTGGTTACACCTATGGAAACAGCTGAACACAGTATTGGTGTTAAGTGTTACTGAGGGCATAATCTGAATAAAATAGAGTTGCCGAGAGGTATCTGAAGATGTAATTTGACCCTTGTTAACAATTGGTCATACAGAAGAAGTAAAGACTCGATGATCCTCTGGGGTCCCTTCCAGCCCAAATGTCAATGAAACCCCAGTTTGACTCTCAAATCCCAGATTAACTTTTCTGGGCAAGTTGTAGAGGGTATATGCATTTGTGGGGTGTTTCCTTGTTTTTTGTTTTTATTTGGTGGGGGTTTAAGCATCTGCAACTCATAGGCCTTGTTCACGTTAATTTTAGGCAGCTCCTGGAGGACTTAACCCCTGGATTGTGCACAATTAACATGTGAAGCTAGGTTTAAGTACACTTTAGGCAGCTTGAAGTTACAGGGTAGGTTTGTCTCTGATCTGTGTCGCTCAACTCATGTTCTATTAATATGTGGCCACTCCCCACAGATGAGCCACCCAAGTTGCAGTCCTCCAGCATCCCAGGATGCAATGTCTCCTTCCCCACCCTCATATTCTGTATGGGCAAACTGTCCACCCCCTGAACTATACTTCTAACACAAAGCCAACTCCCGCTCCTGCCCCTAGGAGCATGACCTCCCCACCCCAAGGGATGCATCCCTGTGCAAACAGCCTGCAGAGCACATGCCAGCTAGCCAGGTTGCAGTGCATGGAAAGTTTCAGGAGTGGAGTCTAGAGGGTGTGAAGGGGAACAAGGTAGGGGGCCAGATCAGATCCCGGGGCTTCCTTCCCAGGACAGGGACAGTAGCTCCCCCAAAAGCACCTTCCCTCACCTCTCCCACCTCCTCACCAATCCAGGAAGCACAGTAAGCACCACCAATATCCCAGTCCCAAATTCCAATTCAGTGAAATATGAGGTCTTCTTTAATTTGCTTCCTCTTCAATTCTTTTATTTTTTTTCTTTTTACTACTTTTTATTTTATCCTTCATTTCACCCTTCCCCCACCCCCACTTTCTTTCTACCTCCCATTGCATTACTCAACCCCATCCCATTAACTCTCGGCTTCCCAACTTCAGGTTCCCATCTTTCCCCAAGCCCTCTCTCGCCCCGCCCCCGCCCCGCCACACCCCAGCCTAGAGCAGTGCTAGAAGCCTGTCTGAGCTCACCAGCCCTGTAGGGGCAAACTACAGCTGTGTCAAACCCCTGCTCATCAGCCCTCTAGTGCTGCATCATGGCTGTGCAGGTGGGGACAATCAGAGAAGGTTTCTAGCTTTAAGGTGTAACTGCTCCAAACTCAAGCTAGCACTAGCACCAATCAACAGTTGAGCTGCTCAAAGTGCAGCGTGTAATAAGGCCCATGCATAAACCCATTTCATCTGGAAATCATTGAGATGCTAAACTTGCCTTTCTCACAATATACTTTTCTGAAACGAAGCTACTGCAATGAACAAAATATTTGTAGCAACAGCTTTCCTTGTAGTGGAAAAATTTGCATTTAATGTTACAATAGTAGTCTCTTATTGCACTGTAGAGACCAAATGGTTTCAAAGTAAGGGACAATAAATGTAAGTGTTTTCACTCTCTGATTTCAATACTTTTTGTTATTTTTTTCCACAGGACAAATGACCAGCTGGTAGCATTCCTATCCAGATATCGAGATATGAACTTCTTGAAGTCACATGGGAGGGATAATGCAAGGTAACGCGATTTCTCATAAGCTTGTTTGAAATGTGACAGTGAAGTTATATTATGGCAGCCTCTCAGTTTTGTCTGGGTGAGGGAGTCCCACGTTCAGGAGACCAGTGGCTGGTGGGTGTGTGAAAATGAAACTCCCAGTGTTAAACAACTGTTACCGCTCATGAATGCCTCCTTCTTCACCTCAATCCAAAGAGGAGAGTTAGCCAGGAGGGAGGTTTAGAGCAGACTGCCACTTGTTCTGTACTCCCAGCTCGTAGTAGCTTGCTGCAACATGAAGATGTACTTAAGAGGGAGGTGAACACAAGAGGTTTTCTTTTGTTCTCAACTCATTTGTTTCTCAAACACCCTAAGCAGTTTTACATGTGAAAATGATCATTTTCTAACTCATTTCTCAAAAATTGGTAGTTTCACAAACGTTGCCCAAACAGGCATGTTGAATCATTCTTAAGTGCCAGAAACCCTATCATTTTTCCAGGACTGGGAAAAACAGCAAAGAAAGAATTAGTCCTAAATATCAGCTTGGGGTTAGCACAGCATCGGACTGACATGTGTTTCTGAGATGGTCCAGCACTGTCTGTAAAATCTTTTTTAAAACAGTAATCTCTAATGTCCTAGTTTAGAGGTCCCCACCGTCATACACTATTAAGGTGCTGTTTGGCACAGGAGAAGTTTACTGCTGTGGAGTAGTAAGGCCATATTGGAGACAATCCCAACACCGAAGCCAGCCAGGGTTCTGCTGCACAGCCGTGTAAAGATAACTTTCACTCCATTTGGAGGAGAAAGTCTGTGGCCTAGTGTGCAGGTGGTGGAGGGACCCTGGGTGGTTTTGGTGGTCTGTTTTGACTTTGGAATCCACACATCTGAATTGCTCATTTATCCCCTTCCTTGTAGGTTCCTGGGGGATCATACCTATAATACAGGCAGCTCTGCATTAGGCCAGAAATGATCATTAAATGCTATGCTTCAGTGCTGTAGCCAGTTGTCTCTAGTGGGCAGGAACAATGTTTTTCCTATGATTCAAAGTGGCAGGATTCTTATTTTGATAATGTATTCGTTTGGCTGGTTGGATGTTTTTTCCCACATTCCTTCAGAGCATCAAAGATTTCCACAGCTCAAAGTGGGATTGTGAATAGTGTGGAACAGTGCTCCGAAGTGCTCCAGACAGTCCTTTTGAGTGTTTGGATCATGTGTGGCTGGTTATCTCCCTCATCAGGATAGCAGGACCTTGGGTGATGGGGCTTGCCTTCCATCACAACTTGGGGCCTGGTGTGTCTGATGGGATCACCTGGACGCAACTTGCCTAATCACTTTCCTACAGTTGCAGGGGCATAAGCATTAGGAGCACTTTGGTCTCTCTCTTTCTCTGCCTACGGTTCATGTTAGGTTTTCTTGAGGAAGTATTTAATCTAATTAACATTTAGGCTATGAAAGCAAAACTCAGTGGCCTGTAATATACAGGAGGTCTGACAGTTAGGTCCCTTCCAGCCCTAATTTCTGTGATGCTATGAAAAGTTTTTGAAGTGGTATAAGGAAATCTCCTCCTTTATGTTTGTAATTGCCCCTCTTATGTGCCCCAATCTTGCAACCAGTTCCACTGCCATGGGCTCCAGAAACCATTGAAATCCCACTGACTTCACACCTGCCACTTTGATTGCGGGCTTAGCAAGCTGGTTCTTAAGCTAACTATTTCATGGCCTGCGCTGAGTTCTGCAAGGTGTCTGGCAAACTGGACACAGTTCAGATGGAAATCATAACAAGACAGAAAATGGCACATCCAGTCGCATCCAGGCAGTGGATGTGCCAAGAACAGAGAGCCTCGGTCTCTTGAGTTTCGGTCTGCTCCTGCTCTAGCCAGGAGCCTCGTTGCCTCCATTTTGTCCTTGTTTAGATGAATTGTGTATCATCCTGATCATTCTGGGTCTTGCTCATGCAGCAGTTTTGCTGCCTGTCGTGCCAGAATATTGTTGTGAGTAAATTACATAAAAACAAGAGCCAAAAACATAAACAGTTTTCACAGCGGATCCCCAGGTTTGGAAAAGCAAAACTTCACTATGATTGACAGGCAGAGCTCCGGCTGGCAGGCCTGACAGACAGCAGAGTTAAATTGGAACAGGAACAGAAAAAGGTCGGGGAAATGCATTCAGTCTCTTCAGCCTTTCTGCTATTCCGATGCACCTGACTATCCTCAAACACTGCAGCTGGCTACCTAAAATAACTAATGAATTATGACATTCATGCATAAAACTTGTTCTAAGGTGCCAGCCTCAGCTGAGGCTAGAACAATTTAGATCAATTAAATACACTAATTTGGTATTAATTTAATAATAAAATGTGCTAATGTGCCACTCATCCTCTCCTTGGAGAAAGAATATCCCATTTTATTATTTTGGCTGCTTCTTTTGAATGTATAAACAATTAAATGCTGTTTAGCCTAATGTGACATGCACGCATTTTATTTTTACTCCTGACATATAAATCTGAATCCTGCCCTGCACCATGAGATGTCATTTAGGGCAAAAACAAGGCTCCATCATCCTTGTCTGTCCATTCTATGCATCTCTTCTGTGTTGTTAGGTCCCAAAAGTTTTCCTTTTGGAACTTCCTCAAGGAGTGCTGACTCAGCTTATTCCACAAGTTCCTACAGTTGCCTGATCCTCTAACTTCACTCTAACCACATCCCCAAATATTTCCATCTTTTTTACTGGACAACAAGGTTATTGAACTCTGATGAATCTTGGTATTTTTATGCATCATTCTATTCACTGCCCAGCGTTTTTCAAAAGCATTTGGCCATCTTCTCTTACACCAGGCTGATTTAGCATTGTTATACTCATATGGAAATAATATTTAATGTCAAGATTTTCAGCTTGGACTTCTAGTTCGCAATGGCCTCTTCTTGCTTAAGCTAATAAACTCAGCTGACATCTTGCAGTTTGACACACTGGTTCCTTCTGGGCAACCTCTTTGATTTGCCAAGGTGTATAAATTGACCAACTGGCCTAGTAGTATTAACCTTCCGATTTAATTATTAGACATGTAATGTCTTTGACTTAGTGATCTCACCTTGGTAAAGAAAATAAGGAAGGGCACATCCTGCATGCTACCTGAACAGTGGTTACAAAGAGAATGAAACTAGACTGTTCTCAGTGGTGACAGATATCTGAACAAGGAGCAATGGATTCAAGTTGCAGCGAGGGAAGTTTAGGTTAGATATTAGAAAAAACTCTCTCATTAGGAGGGTAGTGAAGCACTAGGACAGCCTACCCAGAGAGGTTGTAGAATCTCTATCCTTGGAGGTTTTTAAGACCCGACTAGATACAGCCTTTACTGGATGATCTAGTTGGGGATGGTCCTGCTTTGAGCGGGGGGTTGGACTAGGTGACCCCCTGAGGTCCTGTCCAACCCTAATTTTCTACCTTCTGATAGAACAGCAGAAAACTGTGTATTACAGAGCAGATGTTGGTTTTGCATTTAGGCTTTGTCTCAGGGGCTGTAGCCAGGCTCAGATGGCTTGTCAAAAGAAAATATGATATAGAGTGCATCTCCACTTCCTCTGAACAAAATGTTTGCATCAAAGGAGTTGGCTGGGCACTGGGCAGATGCCTACTCAAAGGAATCTGTCCTTCACAGGCATCAGAGTATACAGAATAAAAGATGTTGGCATCAATAAAGTACTGGTCCTTCCTTGGCCCTTCCCATCTTGAGAAAGGCCAAGGGCTGAGTTGGGAATCCTATCTACACAATCCAGATTCTACTCCCAGAATCCTATTTAAATTACGAAAGTCAGTGTCCTTGGGTCCTGACCCCATCCACTGATGTTGCAACCCCATTTGAGATTGCAACCCACAGTTTGGGAACCATCGCCCTAAGATGCAGCCATTCTAGGCTACACCTTAATGTAAACACCCCACCCACCACCTGTGCCCTGCTGGCCCAGATCAGACCCACTCCCCCTCCTTCCCTCTCCAGCAATGTTCCCTCTAAGGAGCAGCAGTCCATGAGTGCACTACCTTGGTCCACAAGCGCGCCACCTTGATCTGGTGTGGGACACTTACCGAAGGGGACCGGGAGCCAGAGGCTGGACCTGGAAGCTGGGACCAGGGGCTGGGGGCTGGAGGCTGGGGGCCAGGGGCTGGAGCTTGGGGCCAGGGGTCAGGGGCTAAAACCTGGAACCAGGGGCTGGAGCTGGAGCCTGGCACAGGCTCCCCAGCTCCGGGGAAGTGCTCCACTCCCCTGCATCAGGGCTGGGGAGTAGAGCACTTCCCTGGAGCTGGCAGAGCCCACACCAGCTGCCCGTACCAGCCTCCATCCATTCCTTGCCTCAACTTGGGGAGGAGCTGCTGCCTGCCCCAAGTGAGGCTCGGCCGGCTCCAGGACACTGCTCCACTCCCCGGCTCTGATGCCACGTGCCTCCTTGCTCCCCGAGGCAATGTAGGGGAGCAGAGCAGTGTCCCGGAGCCAGCAGAGCCTCACTCGAGGCAGGCAGCAACTACTTGGTGAGGCGAGGCAGGGATGGAGGCTGGGGTGGCGGCCTGGTGCGGGCTCTGCCGGGTCCAGGGAAGTGC